TGGAAATGTTTGTTACTAGTTGGCCTGTTTTTATTTGTTTAGGGGAATGCTTTTATTACATTGGGAGCTATGAAAGCCAGTTAAATATGTAAGGGGGACCCAAATAACTGAATTGCAGCTGTAACAGTTGTTGCAGACATGATTTTTGTCCTGTAATTGGGATCATGTGTAATGTAAAGTGGAGACGTTGCAAAGCCAGATGACGAGAACACAGGGCTGTGTGAACTGCTGGCTGTGTTTCTGTCCTCCTTCTGGAGTTTCTGTTCGATCCTTTTTCACTGGTGGGACACACCCCTTCCCGTGCCAGGTGCTTTTTCCTGAGGCCCTGCATATCCAAGCACGTGGGTTGCTTCCACACACCGGTGACAGCTTGGCAGGATTTTCCCGTCTGTCTCTTCTGCTGGTCGTTTCCATTGGAATTGAAGTGTGAGTTGATAGAAGGTGGTTCCCAGCTTATTTTCCAAATAAGGAACATGAGACTAGCACGTGCAGGTATATATTCAACAGCTGGCTCTCTGGGGGCAGGGAAGCCCTGATTTGTGGTGTCTGCCGATGGTCATGGTGTAAATATTCCCACCATGGCTGACCACAAGCTGTCAACAGACGTCACTGGACACATAGCTGGAAAGAAATGCACAGTAGCAAACTGTTGTGTAATCTGTCCACCAACAAATACAAAAACACTGAACTCCAGAGCAGATAATAGTAAAACGCAGTAAAACAATTCAGAGGCGGCGAGTTTTGAGTCTTTATGACATTTTTTTCAATATAACTTATTTAATGATAACTTTTAATAGTTTAATTTGTAACAATGGCCGTGCTGAACAGCTGGCTCTCAAAGTTTCTGGTTCTGACACACCGACTGGTTCTAAAGTTTCACTGACTTAGCCAAGGCTGAGTCAGGCACGGCAGAACCTGGATCAGTACGAACTGTTTCCGAAAACCAGATTTCTCTAGCCCTGGCCGGTTTGGCTCAGCGGTTAGAGCGTCCGCCTGCGGTCCGGAGAGACCTGGGTTCGGTTCCCGCTAAGGGCACGTACCCCGGTTGCAGTTTGTCCCCGGCCCTGGTTGGTCATGCGGGTGGCAGCCACTCGATGTGTCCCTTTCACATCGATGTTTCCCTCTCTCTCTCTTCCTCTCTCTCCCTTCCACTCTGTCTGTACAAAAAATGGAAAAATGTCCTCGGATGAGGATTAAAAAAAAAAAGAAAAGAAAAGAAAACCAGATTTCTCTAGAAAGATTTACTTATTAATGTCTCTTTTCATTTGTTTATTTATTTTACTACCTCCTGTACCGGTCTATGAAAGGGTCTTGGACCATTACAGGTTGTCATTATCTATCAAGACACCAAAAGTCAGAGTATCTGAATGCAATTGTGACCAAAGACAGGAAAGTGGGGTGCAGATTGGTCTTTGAGCCATAAACAAGTCCTGGCTTTGAGTATCGCTTGGCCCTACTGCTTACCGGTGGAGTCATTTTAAACAAGCCACTTACTTAACTCTCTGGCTTCAGTTCTCCGGTTGGTAGGATGAAAGAATTGGGCCATAGGAACATGTATTATCTCATCTAGGTCTAAAATACCATGATTCACTTTTTGGATTCATCCGTTCAACAAATAATTGCTTCGTACCAATTATCTGCACATCTGTTACGAACTCTGCTTCAGGCGGAATGAAATACCAGTGCAAGAATAGTAACTAGTATAACATCTCACATTTATGGAGAGCCCTCTAATTCACCAGGGAGCAAATGTCCTCCGAGTCTCTGACGTTCTATGGCTTCGGGAGATCAGGACACATCTTCTCAGAATGTTAGAGAAAGAAGGACCCATAAAAGAACAAACAGAACCTGACTCCTAGGAAACGCAAGAGGTCATAACCAGGTAGTGATAAGGAATAAGAAACAAGCATTTTTTCTGCCATGTCTATCAGCTGCTTTACTCTGTCTTCAAAATCAAAAACTATATGTTTTTCTGATGATGAGATTAATTATTGCAGAAAATTTAGAGATTCTTGAGAAGTATTAAATAAGGAGAAAATAGCACATATCCAATTTAATAGCCTGCTTTACTTTAGCTATTATTTTAGTATAGTTTTCAAAGCATTATCAGTAGTCATATTAATTGCTGTATATACATTTATCTTTTTGGTGTACAGAAACTTAATCTTAAGTTGTTTACATTGTTGACCGTTTTTATTATTCTTTAAAACTCTGTGATAAATAACTTTGTATAAAAATTGGACATTGGACACAGTTTCCAACTGTAATATTTAAGGTTTAGGGAGACAGTTTTAGCAAATCATATACTTTTGACTTTTAGCTTATTTGATTCTGCCAATATTCCTTTGTATTTGCCTAGATTTTATTCTGTTTCTAAACATTAAGAGGAACAGTTTGTCTGAATCCTTCAATATGATACATTTGTACTGGAAATAGTGCCAATGTTTTTATATTATTTCCAATAGACATATGTAAAGTATATGGTGAGTAATTTCTTTCATTTTCTATGGGTAGTAGCTTCTGGTACAGGGTTTATTAGTTTAGAAAGTACTCAATAAATGTTCAATAAGTAAAAAAGATTCAGGCTAGTTTAGGATAAGCAAAAACATTTCAGAAGGATGTTAAAAAAAAGACTTTTCTATTCATAATAGTTTTTCTTTCATTAGGAGAAATGACAGCTTAGCACGGTTCAGGAATTCTGACTGTTAAATGAGAACTGTGAATTGAAAAATGTTGCTTTAATTCACCTACATGGGAAACCATGACTCTAACAGTGTTTGATTAAATATTAATGAGATCTGCTAAATTGACCCAACTCTTACTTTTTTGAATTAGATGTGTCAATTAAAATAAGACCAGCTTTACCTTTCTTTAACATCTTTGAGTCAACATCTGCTTACAAGGGAAGTTCTGTAACTACCCTGGTTATTTAAATATTAATGGCTTCCATTAAAGGGGTCTGGAGGTCTGCAGCAGGAAGATTGAGAAATGAGATGGCATCATTAGTTTCTTGTTCTGCCCCCAGGAAAAAAACCTTTTACTGGAAAGGCTTCTTCCAGTATGTTTTTAATGCCACAGTTTTCTTTTGTTTGTTTTTTGTTTTCCCTGAACCAGTTAGAGTAAGATTGTTTATTTCAAGCATTCCTTGAAAGTGGTTGTTATTAAAACATTGGTGTAGCAAGTTCACATAATTTTTTAAAATATTGTATTAGTGCCATAGTGGTCATTACCCTTGGGCTTCTTGGAAACCTAGTTGCAGTTTCTAAATTCATTTTGTTCTTTATTATAGTCAGTAATAGACGAAAGCTTTTTTTTTTTTTTTTTTTACCTATGTAGTGTATATGATCGGACTTGTTTATATTAAATATGGGAAATTCTGTTAAGTTAACCGTGAAAGGCTTTACAAGGATCATATATACAATCCAATTATGAGTATAAATTTTTATCTTATTGGGAAAATGTGGCTGAAAAGCTTTTTAAATTTGCTACAACCAGTATTTTTGTATTACGCCAAATTGGGTTGTGATAGGCAGGTGGTTAATAGATTTTTACACATTTTATGTTTTTAAGATGTTTTAATCGTCTGGTATTTTGAAGCACCAAAAAGAAGGCTTTATATTTTCATAGTTGCGTATTTCTTTTTGCATCCAGTCATCTGAGTGAGTGGAGTATTTATTCATTTCATTCATATACTTTACTTAGACTTCAGAGCTAAGAACTTGGATCATGTTTAGATGGCAGTGATGCCAAATAATGTCCCAGCCCTGATGTAGGCATCATAATGTAACTTAGCAGGGTCAGAACTAAGGTGAAGCAAACGAGGCACCGGCCTTTGGGGGTCAGATTTAACAGTACCAAAAACACAAACAAGCAAAACAACCCAAAGCAAAAAACCTCAGTAATCAAGATAAAGAATATTTTAATATACTATTTGAAAAGAATCAAAATCATTGCCTCCTAAATCCATGATGAACACAATGTCAAGTTTTTAGAAAGAGGATCAGATTTGACCCTGTATCTCCACCTGACTCCTGGCTGAGTTTCAGTTCTGATTTCTCCACTTTCTTGCCTTGTGTGAAGCACTCCTTTGAATCAAATTATCTTACTTAACGCTGGTGATAATAATCCTCACTTTCCTTGTTGAGTTTTTAAGAGGTTGGAATCAGCTAAAAATACAAGGGAAAGCCCATTGTATATACAATTTACCTGTTTATTTACAAGTAAGGAAAATCACCATACAATTTTAAGCCATTATTATTATCAGAGCAGATGCATGCTAAGCAAACATCAGATTTAAATATCCTTGGAAAGCTTTGTGTTAATAAAATTTAAGGCCTAACTCTCGAGTTTATTTATCAGGAAGCTATAAGGGCAGGGACCTAGAGATGGCTGTAGAATCCTCCCTCTCTTTCTTCTTTCTTTGTTGTTCTTGGATGCAAAGTTTACTGATTTTGTAACAGATAGCAGAGGGAACCAGAAATCCTTTTGTGTATTTTAAATTTCCCTGCAAAGTGCCCATGGACAACTGAGGTCTCACCTTTGCTTATGCTAATCCACCCACCAGTGATGCCTACCCCATTTCTCCTGCTCTTCTGAGTCCAGCTACCTTGCATTCACATCCGACCTTGCTAGTCCTGCGTCCTCTGCCTCCTGTAGAGGATGAACTGTCACTACTGCTCATTTGGTCATCCATCACAGAGCCCTTACTGTCTTGAGGCTTTAATCCTCCATTGAATTTACTTTACAGACCACAGTCTTCGAAATAGAAACTGTTTCTCCAGTTGCATAGTCAATCCCTTGAGTGACCCCCTATTAGACAGTGAATTTCAGGGTGAGCAGGGATTGGGTTTGTTTTATTTAAGTGGTATCCAAGGTGCTTAGCAAAGGGCATTTATGCACAATTTTTTTTGAGTGAATGAATTACTGTCTTGCATGTAAAAGGGCTGGGGAAGTATTTACTCTTTTGATTCATTTGTGGAATGTTATTGTCTTCATCTTAGGCCTAGCGGGAATTGTCGGTGCCATGTGGCAGGTGACTGTTTTGGTGATCCTGCTGATGTTCTTCCCTGGTGGCGACGGACTGTTTCGCTCCCTATACAGAAGTGAACGGGTTTCCTTGCCCTTTAAGGGAAACGCAGGACAGCCATTATTTCTCACTCCCTATGTTGAAGCTGGGAAGATCATACAAGGTAAGTCTAATCAGAAAATCAGTGGTATACTTTCAACAGTTCTTTCTTTTTTTTTTTAAGCAATTATCCTACAGGATCCAAAATGTAGTCTGATAATTTTATACTCACTGGTTTTATTTCAAGTAGTAATGATTTGATATCATATATCATCAGAGTTTTGAGCTGAGTTGAGTGTTCATCAGGGCCAGTTTATCTGACGGGTGAGCCCTGCTCTTCTGTTATGAAACTAGCACCGTGCCTGTCTACACTGGGCACTTAATACGGTTAATGCCAACCTTAGACCTTACTATGCATCAGTTTCTGGTCCCACGTATTCTGTATAAACTCATTCAAGCATCTCAACAACCCAGGTTGGTGAACTCATTTTACACACAAGCAAGTAAGCAGAAATAGATTACATTCCTTTTCAGAGCCACACGGACACCAGCTGGTAGATGCAGGCTCACACGCAGACAGCCTCGCTGCAGAACCTGTGCCCACAGCCACTGTGCTGGGCCCGCCCGCCTGGCAGGCTGCCACCCAAACAGCCCAGCCTCGGTGCTCTCATCAATAAGATGGAGTTGGAACAACTTAGCCAAGTCACAGGGACAGTATAAGGATCAGATGAGAAAATGCACGTGAAAACTCTTAGTATCCTGGAAATTGCTCTCTGAAGATTGTTTGCAAATGGGGTTTTCCGTTGTTATTATTAATAGAAAAAAGGTGTTATTTGTCGTCATCAGCGATTAAAATGCATGCCCTGACTCTGCTCTGAATGTGAATCACTGTGGAGATAAATTAATTTTTCTGGACCTCAGTGGGCTCCTGAACTGTAAAATAGCAAGTAGGCAGCCATTCTGAGGAGCTGTCGGAAAAAGGAAGTGGAGAAATGGGGTGGCAGCTGGAGGGAGCTAAGGGGTCAGGAAGGGTCCCTAAGAGGGCCGGAGAGCATGTGTTTGCTGACGGGAATGATCCAGCAGAGGGGGGAGGTTGCTGCGGTGGGGGCAGCTCTTGCTGGAGCCGGTTCTTTAAATAGATGAGAGACACGGTATCTGGGACGTAGATGCCATCGCAGGCGTTGGCGTTTGCTCCGGAGGACTGTGGGTAGGGGGTAGACAGTTACCGCCTTTGAGGCTGGCAGGTTGGTAGATTTCATGCGAGTGTGGAAGTGATACTGGAAATTTTAGGGAAATGATCATTTTAAAGATCAAAACCAGATCTATCTACTTCATATGGAAGTTGAAATACAGCAACTTTCTTTCATTTGAAATGTTCTCATAGCCAATAGGATGTCATTGTTGATTTTGTTGTTTGGTTTAAAACAAAAACATTGTTGCGTCTTAAGGGTGCACGTGAGTCCTGGTCACAGGCCTTTTTCTGAAACACACTGATTCCATGTTTCGCCATCTCTTCTCAGAAACAGTGCAAACCGTTGCTAATGTAGTCAGTGCACATGAGTGTACATTTGGTAATGTAGTCAGATGATGTAGTTAGATGATATAGATGTATTTTTTTACTTGATGTAGAAAAGTCATGAAAAGATGCTGGGCCTGCCCTGGCCAGTTTGGCTCAGCGGTTAGAGCATTAGCCTGCGGTCCGGAAGACCCGGGTTCTGTTCCCGCTAAGGGCATGTAACTTGGTTGCAGTTTGTCCCCGGCCCTGGTTGGGTCGTACGGGTGGCAACCACTCGATGTGTCCCTTTCACATCGATGTTTCTCTCTCTCTCTCTCCCTCCCACTCTATCTGAACAAAAAATGGAAAAATGTGCTCGGGTGAGGATTAAAAAAAAAAAAAAAAAAAAAAAAAAGATGCTGGGCCTCCTGGTACAGGCTCATATCACTAGACATATATGAAGAGGCAAAAACCATTAATCCGAATCTCCCAGAGAATTTCAATGGTAATAGTTGCAGTAGTAAATATAGCTAATAGCTACCATTTAGTAATTATATCTCCAGTACTTAGCATAGTGCCTATATGTAATTGGCATTCAATAAGTATTAGTAGGATTTAAAATTTTAGACCTGAATATGTGCCAAGCATTGTGCTTTACACACATATTAGTTCATTTCAACCCCAGAGCAGCCCTAATGAAGAAGGCATAATTATTGTTCCCATTTTACAGATGAGAAAAATGAGGCCCAGAGAAATTCAGTCTCTTGCTCAGGGCTATTTAAAGCTAGTAAGTAGCAGAGCTGGAATTAAAACCCATCTCTGCTGACCCCAGAGCCCAAGGTATGAACCACCGGACTAGGTGACCAGCTCCAGACCTGAGGGCATTGGGTAAAACTTGGGTGAATAGAAAAGGGCCTGTGCATGCTGAGTGAGGAGAACAGCTTAAACACGGGCATCAGTGAAAGCGGTCATGGTGTGTGTATCAGACATCTGGTCAGATCGAGTGAGAAGATGAGAGGAATCTACCTGAGAGACTGCCCACATCCCCTCCTGCCTGCATTTCTTGACAGAGCATTTCAGTTGTGGTCACCGGCAGTAGCCAAGACGGATTTCGAGGGAGCTGGTCTCATCTTCTTTCCTTCTGTGCCAGCTCTGATGGATCACCATCTGATGAGTGACGATATTTAACATACCAAAGCGGATGTCACGTCACTTTCTAACGTTCTGTTACACAGTTAACATCTTCGAATGGAATTTTAAGTGGCTGATCCCAAATCTGGTGCATCTGGGTATTCAAATGCAACTCTAATAACATCATGAAGGACAGTTTTATTCATCTTCTTTACTGAAAGTTCAGGAAACTGGGCAGATGGTCAGCTTGTTCCCCTAAATCTGTTTTGTTTATCGAGTGTGTCAGAACCTTAGGAACGCAAGTCTTCATACTGCAAGGGGACATTTTTTAGATGAACAGTCATTCACAGAAAGACAAGGGCCATTTTTATTTTCTTTGTCCTCCATTAGCTGGCTTAGTTTTATGCAACTGTAATTGCATGTTTACTTTCTCTGCAGCTAGAAAAAACCCTTATTCTCTGAAACTAAATGAATCTCGGAGGCAAATGTTAGCATGTTTACAAACACATGCTTAGCATTTTCGCAAACTTGAAGAACACTTTGCTATTAGGCCGTCATCTTCTATTACTTAGGGTCTGGTCACGTCTTGCCTGTACCGATGATGGCCAGAGTGGCGGCGAATTAATCTTTTTGAAAGTGGTAGTGTTACCAACACTGGCAACCGCAGTAAACAACATGGAGGAAGTGAAATCGCTTCAAAGAAACTTTTTTTTCGTTCTTTAACGGTTTAAATAGTTGTATTGTTGAGGAAGAAACTTGTACATCTCGGGGTTTTATTTTCCACATTCCATTAATAGACTCTGGAAGGGTGACTAGAGCATTGGAAAATATAAAAAACTCATTTGAAAGAAAGAAGTTTTAATTATTTGACTGTGGCTTAGTTAACGGAAATTTAATATTGGAGACAGGGTGAACCACTTTTCTGTGGGGGCCAGAGCAGAGTTTTCTCTAAATTTCTTAAGATCTTAATAATGCCTGCCTGCCTTAAAAGGTTTTTGTAAAAGTAAGCGAATTCTAGTGCATTGTCAGTGTGGCCTGTTTGGGCTCATTCATTCATTCACTCATTCATCCTTTCATTCATTAATAGCATGTATTGAATGTCTTCAGTGTGTAAGTCAGCATGGTATGTCCCCAGGGGTACAAAGATAAACTAGACACAGTCTTGCTTTCCAACAGCCCCTGATCGGAAAGGGGGGTAGGAAATGCATGTGAGTAAGTACAGGTGGTGGAGAAACAACTGGGGATGCTGAGAAAGGGCGGGTTGGGGGAGCTGAGTCGTGTCTGGAGCAGGCCCGGGACCTTGTGCTGGGCTGGCCTCAGAGAGAAAGAGATTGATTCAGTCACCTGGTCCCACAGTCCTTTCCCTCCAGCTCCTGTCTGTTCCATGTTTTCTCTCCTCATTCTACTCTGACCGTTCTCGCTTTGCTCTCTTTTCACGAATCCCCTCCTTCTCACTTACTCCTCTGATCCTCGAATCGCTCATTCCCAACCCCCACCTTCAGTTCTCTGCTCTGCTTTTTGGGAGGTTTTGGAGGAAGGTCTATGATTTTGAGAAGATTAACAGTTTTGTGAAAAACATTTCAAAAGTGTTTTTAGGTACGAACTTCCAGTTATAATAATAATAATAATAAAAAAGTACAACCTGGGATGTAATGTACAGCATGGTGACTATAGTTATTAACACTGTACTGCATATTTGACAGTTGCTAAGAGGGTGGATCTTAAAAGTTCTTAACACGAGGAAAAAATATACAGCCGTATGGTGAAGGGTTGTGATGATCTATTTGCAACACAGACAAATATCGAATCATCAAGTTGTACATTCAAAACTAGTATCATGTTATATGTTGATTATATTTCAATTTAAAAATGGCCCCAAAACAAGTGTTTTCAGGGCTGTCCAACCCTGGCGGGAATTCTTTCTTTGGGCTAATTGAGGTGGAAGCAAAGAAGGGGAGAGGGAAGGGCCTGGGGGGATAGGAAGTGGGCACCCACTACACATCTGTCTCCCTTTTCTTTTTCTTCAAATCCTCCTGTCTCCGTCTTTTCTCTCTTTTTCTGGCAGGGAGATAGATCTCATTGGAAGAGACGGGGAGGAACCGGTGTGGTTGGTTAAGCAGTCTTCGCTGGGGGAACCGGAGTGAGCTAGGAAAAGGCATAGTCAGCCTGGCGAGTGTGGCTTAGCGCTGGAGCGTTGACTCATGGCACCAAGAAGAGGTCACTTTTTGATTCTTGGTCAGCCCAATCCCGAATGGGGGGCATGCAGGAGACAGCCAACTGATGCTCTCTTTCATCAATGTCTCTAGCTCTCTCCCTTTCCCTTTCTCTCTAAAATCAATAAAGGAAAAATGTTGGTTTTTTTAAGTAAAAGGCAAAGTTTTATAGACTGCTCTCGGGGTGGCCTGGGCTGACAGCTTGAGTCTCCCTTTGCTTGAGTCCTTACTTGTGTCCTGCCCCATGGTAGGGCTCGTCAGCATGTTTTCATTGGATCCTCACAGAAAGCCCAGGGCATCCGCGTTTTTGCATAAAAAGAAAGAGAGGCTCAGGGAGATGGAGTGACTTGCTAGAACGCCTTGTCAGGACTGCCAGCCCCTGTCTGTCCATCCTGGAAAGCCATGCTTTTCCTATCGTGCTGGCCGAGCAGGCAGGACCCTCTGGAAACTGCCTGTTGACATCTGTCCTGTGCCTTCACCATTGCCTCTGTTCCCAGGTGCCCCTGTTCCCATTCAGTGGATGCATTTCAAAGACAACAACAGCGATGATCCCTGCAAGCCAGCTTCTTTGCTCCAGGTTTTATATCCGTAGACACAACGTCATCCACCTTTCCTAGGTGACAACCTGGAGCACAGACAGGCCGAGTCTCTGCCTGTTAAAAGGGTCACAGAGCTGGTCAGTAGTAGCCCTGGGACCAGCAAAGAACAAAGGAAAAGGAACAGTGTGCATAGGCGAGTTTCCCTTTGGGGAGGCAGACCCCTTGGAAAAGAGGCACGTGGGGCCCCAGGCAGTGGGGTGCTACTGAAGGTTTAACAACCGACTGGGATCGGGCGGTGATTTGTAGAACAAATTCCCTGAGTGTAAATACTCTCGCTGTGGCTCATGGCCCCTGTCAGTGATGTCACTGAATGCCCACCTGGGAAGACGTTCGAACCATCAGCACACACAGCCTGAGGGCTCCGGTCCCCACTGGTGGCAGCTTTAGTCAGTGGCGTGTGTGAAGGATGGAGCTTCCTTACCTACTCCCGTCCCCTAAGCAGTCTCCAAAGTAGTATGTCTCAGACTTAAATGGCTTTTCTTGAATATTTTGGTTTCACTGGGGACACTTGCTTTGTCACCCCTAAGGACCTGTGCTCACTCAGACTTCCCCAGCATGCCCTGTTGCCTGATTTCTGTTCCTTCTCCGCTGCTTCCCTAATGCCTGCTTCCCCTTGCAGCTCCACCCGTGACTCACTCTCCAGTGAGGGGCGTGAGAGGCTGGGGGAGGGGCAAACCTTGACTGCCAGAGTTGAACCTGTTTCCCTTTACTAGCTGTGTGACCTCGGGCAAGTCAGTTAACCTGCCTGTGCTTCGGTTTTATCACCTGTAAGGTGGGGATAATCACTATACCTACCACCTAATGTCCAGTGGCCCTTATGTGTCAGCTCCTATTAGTATTGCTTCCTCCTGGGTGGACTTAGCTATTCAAGCGTTCCTTTTTCTCCCTCCCTGCCCCTGCCCCTTTTCTGCCAGAAGAAAGCCAAGACCTCTGCCTTCTGCGACTGTCCCTTTGTCCTAATGGACGCCGTCTGAGTAGCCACAGGGTCAGCCTCCATCTCACTGTCTCCCTTCCCCCTCCTCAGCCGCCCTGAGCCTCCCCGCGCCCCGCAGGCCCCCGTCCATGTTCCTCAGTGGAAGTGGCGGGCCTTAGGCTTTCGTGATAAGGGGTGTGGGCAGAACCCAGGCCCCCAAAGCAAAGGGCTTCTTAGCCCTGTTGTTTCTCTTGCAACCCTGTTTTGGGGTCAGCTGACTTCATTCTGCCCTGGCCCTCCGGGGGCCCACTGTGAACACCTCGGTGTACTTACCTTTCTAGAACGAAGCTGAGATGAGGTGATTTTCTTTTCTTCTTTTAATAAAAATCTTATCATTGCTTATAAATTATACTTGGGGACCAAAAACATGAATAAATAAATAAAATTCAAAGATGTCACTGTCCTTGGCTAAATTGTTGAATATGCGGACTTTTCTAGAACATGCTAGAATTTGCTAGCGTGAGGACCTCTCTGCCCACCCCCTCGTGGCCTTGCTGATCACCGTCCCAGACCTGGCCCTGGAGGAGCCGGGTGGAGAGGGCTGGCCCAGGATGAGGTCTCTAACCCTGGGTGCGTGTTTGCCTCCCAGGGAGACAGCTGAGCGTGGTGGCGCCTTTCCCCAGACAGCACGTGGAGAGCTACGCCGGCTTCCTCACCGTGAACAAGAGTTTCAACAGCAACCTCTTCTTCTGGTTCTTCCCGGCGATGGTAAGCCTGCGACAGCGCCCTCCCGCCACTGCACTCAGGGTCCGCCGGGCTGCCACTAAACTGCGGGTTGTTTTATTCTTACTTTTTTAGACTTTTTTCCTTCTAAAAATAAAGTGCCAGTGACTCTGAGTGGTGTTCCTGTTTATGTGCAGGAAACAAATGTTTGCAGGGAGGTCCAGCTTCCCAAGTCCGCTCAGCCCGGCGGAATATTAGTCCCATCACCTACTTCCTGCCTCCGTCTTCTTCCTATCTTTTTGTTGTTTTGTTCTAAAAATCCTTGGAGTAGTGGGGAGCCAGGGAGGATGAGGAGTGGGGAGACTCCTGAAGTTCAGAGGTAATGCATATGCAAGAACATGTAAATTGAGTTGACTACAGTCTACTATGGCTCTTTCTGTGGATTTTGCTGGGCCGGTTAATATTTCCCCACTCACTCCTTCATGCATCCAGTGCCCATTAATTGAACAGTACTCTGTGGAGTCACAGAAGAGAGGGAACTGAACCCATCTCCTCTGGGCCTTTGGGGAAGGGATGGGGTAGAGTGGTGATCTAGGATGGCTTCTTGGAGGAAGGGGCCACCGACCCTCTCGAGTCCATAATAGACACAGGTGGGTATACCCAGTACTTTGCCAGTTCTAATAAGCTTACTTCAAGGTCACATCATTCTTCAGCATGAACAAATAATTTTAGGCTTATGGATACTGCTGGGGGTATTGGTAGAGGTGCTGAGGTGCATGGGTGCATGACCAAATGTGATCCTGCCACAGGGTAATTTTCTATTTTTATTTCCAAACTGGATTTGCTTTAGAAGCCAGAGAAAACAATGCAAAAGCTGTCCCTACGGAGGATGGTATTGCTATTTGCATATGATTTGCATATGCAATGCTGCATAAATAATAACTGGGTAAATTGCTTCATCCAGGGTGGTTTTCAAATTAAATTGCTTCTGTTGGTACTGTTGGGTTTATTTTTTGGGGGCTTCTCATTTCTGCTTTCCCAGCCATGGCTTCTGACAATTCACCACGTTGTCTGGGTAGGGGAGGCATTTAGGACATGGTGAGGAATTCTAGATACTTTTCGGTTGGGCTCATAATAGTCTTCATGCTGTCAAGGACTCTGGAAAGCGTCTCCTGGACCCTAGAGAGGGTTCTTCTCCCCCCTCAGTGTTACTGTCGAGGGAGGCAGCTAAGGAGCCGGAGCACAACACTTCAGGAGGGACTCACTGTCAGGGTTGTGCAGTCCAGGCCTGGCACCTGGCTGTCCTCCAGATTCCTGCTGCTCCTTCCCATTGGTGGAGCCAAACCGGAACCCAGGAGGCAAGGGACTCTCCTCCATAGGGATCTGCCTTCCGGGGCGCAGAGCAGAGAATGGACCTTCAAGGCAATCAGGAAGACATCCAGATATCCAGCACATCTGTCTTACGGAGAATTGTTAGAAATTAAGCCCAGAAATCTGACCTAATCCTCGCAGGTGGACATTTTTTGTGTTCTTGGAAGTCTCTGAAACCCAACGCCTTTCGGAAACCACAGGACACAAGTGCATTTTCAATGTCACGTCTGTCAATATCGTCGCGTGTAGACGTTTAGTAGGAACCCCTTTGTATTTGTTTTGTGTTGCTGCTCTACAAATGATCACACGCGTTGTGGCTTAAGCAGCATGCACCCACTGGTTCCCAGTTCGGTGGGTCAGAAGTCTGACACAGGCCTCACTGGGCTGAAGTCGGGGTGTTAGCAGGGCCGCGGTGCTTCTGGAAGCTCCCAGGGAGGCTCTGTTTCCTTGCCTTTGGCAGTTTCTAGAAGCTGCCTGCATTCCTCGGCCTGCAGCATTTTTAAATCCTGCTTTGGGAGGTGGAGTCCTCACACGCATGGCTTTGGAGGCTCCGTAGTCATTTTTCCTTCTCTGACTCTTGTCCTTTGCCTCATTCCTCCGCCTCGAAGGACCCTGACGATTACACTGTGCCCACCGGGATAGTCCTGGACACTCTCCCTATCTGCAGGTTTGTTGACTAACAACCTTAATTCCATCTGCAACCGTACTTCTCCTTTGCCACGGGCCGAGCCTATGCACAGGTTTCGCACACTAGGATGTGGGTCTCTTTTTGGTGGCCAGTATTCTCTGCAAAATGAATACTTGTATGTTCTCTCTCAGTGATTCTCCCATATTATTGTATTTGAGAATTACCTCCAAATCCGCCCAGAGATTCTGACCTGAAATTGGGAGAATTAACAGGTAGGGCATGCTTGAGAATCCGTCGCTCCAGCCTAGGGACCACCGCCCTGTGCTCAGTGCTGCTGACCCCAAGGTGGCCCACACTTCTTTCTGCCGGAAGCACCTGGAGCAGGCAAACCCAGACGAAGGTGGCCTTGTCCCACGCACACGCCTGTGGGGACCAGCTTTCCTAATTCTGCTTGGTTTCCTCTAAGGCGGGCTGGGTCTCAGCCCCTACCCCACCCCCACCCACACCCACACCCCACCCCAGCCCAGGAAACCCGGTTCCTTACTTTCTCTTCTGCTTTGGTGGCTCTTTATGATACCAGTAAGTTCCTCAATGACTTCTGCGTGTGGAATCTTTTTAAATAATGACCCAGATTTGTGAAAACGGGAATTCATGGTGAGGGAAGTGATCCTTTGTTTTGAAAACAAAACAAAGACCCAGTCTTTTCTTCCTGAGGTTGCCTCTGAGCAGGTGAACAGCTTCGTCTATACTGCGGGTGATGCAGTGGACAGTAAAGCTGGTTACAAAATAGGCGTAGGTCCTGCACCCTCTCCTGGTTGCCAGACTGAGGTCTGAAACCCCCACCCCCTGCACTGCACAATGACTGAGCTGCTGGGATCCCCCCTTAATTAAATGAAGATCTATCTGTGCATCTCCTGACCAGATGGTTTTGGAGGGACCAGTAATGTAGCCCTAAACACATTCAAGGCGATCTCAGGAGACAAGAACACGAGGATGTCATACCGGGAGAAATGCTGAAGCCCAGAGTGTTCTCTGGGACATGATAGACTAAGCTTCAGGGAGAGATAAAAGGACAGTACCGCTGACAGCTGTCACCTCAAGGCGTCCAGAACAGATTGTTCCAAGACCTCCTTACCAGGGGCCCACCTGCAGAGCCAGGTCTCCGAGGCCCCAAAGCAACCATTCCTGCTGAGTCAGTTGGGTTATAAATTATGGAACCGGTCAGCTGGGGTGAAGGAGATAAAGCATGTGAGAAGGAGAAGCAGGGGTCGCCCAGGTGGGGGAAGAGTTTCTTTCATTTGGCAGAAATAGGAATCCATTGCCTGTCTCGGGGAAGCAGCTGACACTGTCATCAGGAGAAAAAGGACCCCTTAGAAGAACTGGAGGTAGAGAAAATAAGAGATCAGGAAGAATGCCACATTTGTAATATCCTCTGAGTATTTTGGGGGGCTGCTGTTTCTCAAATTAGTTTTGTTTTCCTGTTATTTCTGTGAGATTCCCTGTTATTGTGTACAAATCAGGACATAATGGATTCTAGAACTCGAAACTGGTGTGCGGTGGGGATGCAATCTGCAAGAGACATGAATCGGCATTTTGCATGGGATAAAAAGTATAATGAAGCCAATACAAATGTAACAATGAGAATAGTTATTGTTCACTGAACACTGACTCTATGCTAAACACTGCATTTTTAACATTTAGTCCTTACAATAACCACACGAGGAAGGAATTATTATCCTCTTATAGATGAAGAGGATTGCAGAGATTCAATAAGTAGGCTCCAAATGCCTAACAAGAAATTGCCAGAACTGGAATTTAAAACTAGATCAGGGACAGAGAAATCTTTGCCCTCGGTCGTCATGTGGTCCTGAGAAAACTAGTCGTGGAAGTCACTTGAGTTAGTCAAGCTGGTGTAAAATCTTGGCTTCGCTGCTTGGGGTGAATGTGACCTGGGCACATCTTCCTAACTTCTCTGAGCATGGATGTTTGTCGTTTCGTTTTGTTTTAAAATGAGAACCAGCGTATCTACTTGGCTATGGCTTTGAGACCAATGAGATAAGGTGGGAAAGCCCTTCGGTTGGTGCCTGATACATAGGAAGTAAAGTTGCTATTATTATTATTTCATGGTTATCATCAGCATGATCTCTATTAGTTTTCTTATTATAAACACAAAGACTGTGCAGACCTAAACCAGTCACAATTTAGGAGGTTAAAGAAGTCAGGAAGAAGGGGGCAATTCCAAAACCGAAGTAGCTGGATGCCAGGCAAGGATGGGGATTAATTGCTTACTGGGTAAGGAACTTACAAAGTGAAAAGGGATTTTCACATTTACGAGGATAAAGAAGCATGTTGATTATTATTTTTTATTTTTATTATTATTAAATTATTTGTTCTTTATTGATTTGAGAGAGAAAGGAAGGAAGAGGGAGAGATAGAAACATCGATGAGCGAGAACATCGATTGGCCTCCTCCTGCATGCCCCCCACTGCGGATCAGGCCCACAACCTGGGCATGTGTCCTGACAGGGAACTGAACTGGCGACCTCTTGGTGCATGGGTTGATGCTCAACCGCTGAGCCATACTGGCCAGGCTGATTATTATTTTTTTTAATGAATATTCTTAACATTGGAAAAGTATATCCAATATTTGACTCTTACAGGACTGTAGGTAATTTGTTGGCCACAATTAACTCAGACTTGCAGATTGTTTACCTCAAATGTCATGGAGCCAGAACCTGAGCTGCTTAGAGTCGGGCCTGGCTGCGTCACAAAGGCCCTACCTTGCTCCTCTCGCCAGAGGAATGGCTGGGGCTCCCGGAGTCCAAGTGTCTGGTGATGGAGAGAGGCCGGTATCATATCAGCGAGTCGGGAGGGCTGGGGTGGGGGAGGCATGGGGCACCCGGAGGCGTGCTGGAGGGACCCCTCTCAGGATCACGCGGGTGCTGACCTTACTCATCACACACCAGGGCAGTCAAGAGAGCAGGGATTAGGTTAACACAGTCCGCAAACCCACAATCCACAAATCCACAGTCCAGTGCAAGGGCCAG